CCGATTCGCATCGATGTACAACTTTTTTATATGTTGACTTTATTCTATTATGATGTGTACGAGCCCTTCTAATAGAATGTACATCATCCCAAAGCTAATACTTGACATCTAAATTATTTAATTTTCATAGTTTATCACTTAGCGCGTTGTATTCAAAAATGAAATCTGCTACTTGATGTAGTATGATAAATTCTAAACATGGCAATAAGAATCTTATTTTATTTAAGTACTCTTTGTTTTCGGAAGATACTAAAGTCTATGCGAACATAATCATTTTTTGCAATAATGATCAATGCATTTTTTTATTTCTTTGACCGAAAACGTTTCTACTAATTGAAGGAAAAATACTTTTCATTCGCAAGTGTTTACACTGCATATCGATAGGAAACAAGCGAACAAAGGGATATAAACGAAAAGACTAAGAATTTAAAAAGAATTATGATGCAGTTTAATGGATCTAAAAATGATTTTTCGCCCTTTTGTTGCAACAATATCACGTAAAAATCATGCTGTTCAAGTGGATAAAACCGTTGGCATGATGTGCAGAGAGTTCCATCTATGTTATAAACAATCACACATGGCTACCAAACAGTCCTATTCTCAATTTTTAGGATAATTGCGTTTAGAATGCTATTTCCAATAGTATGTAATGAAATAAAGTTTAAAATCTATGATTATTTAATTGATAGAGTAAGAAGAAAAATTCGTGGTGCAGGAAAAAAATGATCTTGTTCTCATAGAATTTTATCTAATCTACAAACAAAGTGTACATTTTAAAATAAGATTTTTATTGTAGTTTGCAAAGCTTGTCACACTGTTTAGTTTTGAATATAATATACTTAGTAATACAAGAAAAAATACAAAAATTGAGAACTCATCTTCATTAATTGATTATGCTGGCAAGTGTCGTAAGATAGAGTTTTGTTTGAATAAAAAAAATCCAACAAATGTTCAAATGAGTTAGAAGATTGAGGTAGAGTTTAATTGACAATTTTAGTATTTAATATAGAGTTCTTCAGTTGATGTGATAATATAAGAATATCGATCAAGGCTGCTCATCTCATATTTAGATAGATAAGAAAAACTTTCGCTTCTACAATATATCTCATAGAGTACTATGTATTTAAACGAGAGTTATTCATGATAAAATATATTTAATTTTCGGCGTCTATCATCTAGAATAGTTCAAAGATGACATTGAATAGTTTCATGAAGACTGAAAAAGACGTTGAAGATGATCTAGTAGTGGTAATCTTTTTAAGTTTACGATGATCGAAAATTCTTTATCGGAAAAAGTTATGATTCGGATCAGTTTACACTTGAAATTCGTCAATAGTGATATAAAGGTCATCTTTAATAAGGCAATGTATGGATGTTGTTTGCTGAAAGATACGATGGATCGTGCACCGACTTTAATATCTTCTAGATTTTCACGAATTCATTCATATCGTTTTTCAACTGTTCTGAGAGATGGAGACTGATTGCCGAAAATAATACAATAAAGTATGAACTTAAATGCAGAAGTGAAAATTTTCCTTATGTAACAAAATCAAAAGCGAACAACACAGTCACATCTTCAAGTCTTTATTTTCATTGATGTCGACCTTCACCTTTTTATCTAACATCAATACAAAAATTATTTAGTCTTCATTATCAAAAATCTTATTCGGCATCATCTTCATCAAATAATAATAAATTATTCATGTTCGAAAAATAAAGAATATCAATACCATGTTGTTTGCCTTGCTGGTCCTGTCAATTAGCAACTAGTAAGTCATCTCTATCCGACCTACACGTGTACAAAAGTATTTCTTCAAATGATAGAATGATCTATTGACAACATACAGTTCTAACTACATTAAAATATCATTCTTCATAAACACTAACAAAATACTAACTCATCATTATCTATTAATCGATAATCACGTCGACTTAAAGAATCAGTTCCAAATACATTTCAAGAAAATATTTTCTCAATTATCTATTTCTCATTATCTCCAAAAAAATTTTATGCATGTAATGAAAAATGAAGCAAACTATTGATCATGCAATATCATCTAGTGTTAGACGACGAAAATTAAATATATTTTATCATGAATAACTCTCGTTTAAATACATAGGACTCTATGAGATATATTGTAGAAGCGAAAGTTTTTCTTATCTATCTAAATATGAGATGAGCAGCCTTGATCGATATTCTTATATTATCACATCAACTGAAGAACTCTATATTAAATAC